ACACGTGTTTTAAACACGCAAGAATAATACAAGAATAGATATGGCCCATCGGCCATATCAACGAATTAATCAACTTTATTTTGAATAATGTTTTAAGAAAACGCACCGGCGTGGGGATATCATGTTACAATAAACATGTTAAAAAAACAAAAATATCTCGAGATAGGCTCAAAGGTGGCGTCTGTCAATGTTACGTAGCTTAAACAAATATTGTTGCACCGCTTTTTACTGAGACAGGAGACGTCGCGTTACCTCCGAAGTGTTGAGTTCAGTGTGACTGTAGCAATGTAACTAAAACTTATATAGAATCAACGCAAAAAAACAAATTTAATATCGTTTCAAAGAAAACTTAGGTAACGTTAACCACTTAGTTTTATTACTTGCTATTTGCTACTTAAAAGTTAAGCCGAATATTTTAATCTGATTGTATGAGTTTTCTAAGAAAAACTTGCATCTGTTTAACATTTTGCACATTTGGTGGGAAAGGGGTTCTCTTCTCGCGTCAATGACAGGTTCCCACACCACGTCACTCGGCCACTCAGCGTTCAGCGAGAAGGCAAAGGTATCAAGGTGCATTCAGCCACTTTGCAGACGCGCCCGTCTGGAATAATCTTATTGACTTCTTGACATTTCCAGTGTACTTATTGTGATTTACTTTGAATTGTAAATCACAAACCTTTTGGCAACACTGAACAATACAAATGTCTCAGTAAATAATAATTGTAATTATAACATATGTATTTACTAATATTTATTGTGTCCGATGAGAATGTACCCTATGTAGTTTAATAAAGACTAAAAAGTTACTAAAAAATGATAATCATAGTTAACATGATGAAAAAATAAAAATCGTAAAAACGAAAAATAAAGTCTTTAGAAACTCAGAAAGCTTATATGTAATTTATTATTTTTTTTTACTACATATTATTACACTATTTACTACATATCTACATCCGTATAGTTACTCGGCGACAGTATTACTAAAAGATTATATGGAAACAAAATGTAAAAAAATTAACGAAATGCACACATGTTCGGTATACGATTTTTTTAATAAGAAACTCGCGGATACACTGACATCTATGGACAGAAAGTAATAATTAAAATATTTTTCAACGCCATCTTTTGTTAAGTAGCATAACTAAGTTTTGGCAATTGGTCGATGAAAATTTAATTATTTGGAATTATCAAAGATAGATGTCACTAGCAGCTGTTTGAAAAACAACATTTCCAATGTTTAGGTCTGATCAAATTTTTTACTAAATTTGGCATAGATATAGAACATAGTCTGCAAGAACACACTGGCTACTAAATAATTAATTATTCCGCGGGCGACAGTTAGTAAGGAATATAAATGAATATGACTGCATGCACCGCCGGTGTTATTGATCAATTAAATAAAATTACATTTTAAAAAGATAACATTACCTTTACTATGAAATTTTATAAGCAATATTATACATTAAAATTTAATACAAAAACCGTAAGATATACAGTTACAGAATTCAATAAATACATTGAACTCTCAACTGGAGACAACTTAAGTATTTAGTCACAAATACGCTGGTTACATTTGTAGTTATAGTTACAATGGCACTTTATAATACAATTTAGATCACAAATTTCATTTGTGTGACAAGCAGATGCTACACTAGTTTTGCCGCAAACAAAGATAACACTAGAAATAAATACAAAACCCTATTTAAATATCCTGAGTTATTTGATTCATTCTCTAAAATTTATACAACAGGCATTTATATAACAAACTTTCAAAACTTACCTTTTTATATATTAACTTTATGAATATGTTTTTATAGGTATAGTTATATTGCAACAGTATTAATATTACAAACATGGCTAATTTTGTGTTTACACTAAAGCAGGAGATATCAAATTCCTATCAGAGGCAAAGCAAACGTCTCACAGCAATATTTTATATAAAGAATATCAAACAAAACAATGTCCTCTCACTTTGCAGAAACTGTGCGATTCCGCGCAACATGTTTGCCATCCAACACTGTACAGAAGCAGCAAGTTGTTGCCACACTTCACTGCTAAAGCATTGCAGAATGCCCAACCATATATAAATATACAATAACCTGGCAAGTATAATTGAGTTAGCTTCTACACAACATTTTATATTGACAATATCACGATAATAGTCAAATGCTAGCACGGGCACCACTCCACTTTAACAGAAAAACTTCCTCTGCTTAGATTCAAAGTCATCATCACTATCGGAGAAGCATGCAGTAAACCCACTCTTATCCCTAGAGTCACGTTTTAACAACTGTCTATTTTCACCTGCAGATTTCTTTAACTGAGCACATCTGCCACTTTGTCGTTTTTTCTTAGATGAATTGTCCAATAAGTTTGTCTCCGTGGGGCCCGCCACGTTCACCGCAGCCAATGAACTTAGTTGTTCCGTGGAGTTACTAAGAACAAGAACAGAGTTATCAGTTTGTCCCGATCTCTGGTTTATCTTACGACCGCTTCTTGTTCGCGACACAATCTCTTCTTCTGAGTTTTCTTTGCGATCAGAGCTGGTTAATTCACTTGGCTTTTTACACATACGCTTTCGTCTATCTGTAGCACTTCGGGAATTATTGATTTTGATAGGAGACATGACCTCAGCATTACAATTCCTTTGTCGCTTTGGGTACCTGGAGGTGCCATTTGACTGTGCGGTATCATCAACATTGCTGACCTCTTTGTCATTATTGCATTCACTCTGCTTATTTTCAGATTGCTTGGGATTCATAAATTTCAACAAGGAAGTTGAGCGACTTACTCTTGTGACTTTTGAATTCTGCTTTGAAGTGACCAAGTTAATAACATTCTGAGATGAGTCTGTACTGTAATTCAGGATGGCAGAGTCCTGGGGTCCAGTGTTCATGGACTTATTAACACAAACAACTGTCTTGCTCTCCTGTTTCTGAGTACTGTCTTGTGATTCCTTGATAAAAGTCCTGTTTAACTTACTTCTCATATTCCTGGGAGTCTTTGTTAATTGTGTTTTGGTTGAACGGATATAGTTAGCAGTAAAACCAGACACATCACTGTCATCTTCCAATTTGCCATTAAGTACCCCAACCTTTGATTTTTCATTAACATTGTTGGAGGGTTGCTCCTCCATTGTTACATCATGGATAATAGTTTTCGTCTCATCTTCAGGGAGCTTAGGTGTCTGGTTATCTGGTGATATTTTTGAAGCTAGCAGAGGTTCTAGGGGTAATGTTTTATTTATCACCTTAATTGTACTATCCAGTTGATTGTCATTTAAGGATTTCTGTAACTTGCGAAGACTGCGCCTCAGAGCTGTTACTTTTGGTGTTGATGTCACCATTTTATTCTTTTTTTCAAAATCCATTTTACTTTTTTTCTGTAGTCTCATCCTTTTCGGCTTAACCACTGTTGATGATTTTTTAACGACAAAGTCTTCATCGGACCCATTAGAGCTGGCTTTGACATTATTCTTGGCAACTTGCAGCGGAGTATCTGATGTGAAATAGAATGCACTTTGTTCTTTCTCAGTGGAGACAGAGTCTTGATCAATCAGCACCAATTTTCGCTTATTTTTTTTCCTAGGAGAAGGCACTTCTTTAACTGCTTTACTTTTAGAGTTATACTTTGAGCAATGGGCTTGTTCTTTAGGCTTGTTATTGGTTTTGTCATATGTGTACAGGCAAGGTGCACGTTTTGTGTGCACCCAGTAGGAGATCTCCTCCATGTTGTTCATAAAGGGAGTGTCAGGGGGCTTAAGTTTCCAGTAGCCGTTTTCATGAGCTGGCTCCATGCTGAGGTGCACTGGCTTTTGATCAGGTGCAGAAGGCACTGCAGCGGCGACATCCAGTTGCAGCTCGCACGCACCACCATGTCGCTCCCGCTCGACGCCGACGCCCCCATTGGCCGCTGCCTCGAAATCACCAAATCCATCGTCTTCACATTCCATACACCTGTAATGTTTATATTACCGTTATATTTAACTACATTTCGATATTTCAAAAGATTTCTAAGAGAAAAGTTAGTTTGAACTTAAAATTTGAAATATAATCTTTAAAGAAATTGTAAAATTCTTAGAAGTTTGACAACTCTAACCACGGCAGTTATGTGAAAAACATAATGTTTATTGTTTAAATTTTTTACACATGTAGACATTAAAAAGCTTAAAATTTACTGGAAATAATATATTTACAGGTTTATATTGCATAAAATATATACACAACATGACTTAAAATTACGTATAAATCCACGCCGAACCATTCAACGCTGCTTATGACGAATCAACGTCTTATTTATTACCTTAATGCAAATACAGGTACCGAAAATGCAATTTGCACTTGACAAACTTATCCATTTAAGTAAATTAACAAATACTTTTCATGAAGTTTAAGCGATACATGAATACAATACAAAATCAAAATTAGTAGTAAACTCGCCGCAGAGGAAAAGTAGACAGCAATGTTGCCGTTATTTTTTGAAAAAAACGTACCAAGGCTTACTGTATTTTGATCGAATTTCTGTTAATAAAATTGCTTATTTAATCAAACTCATAATTTAATATATTTTAAATACTAAGCAATCCAAAATCAAAACAAGAATTCAATTCATTTTCTGATAACATAAAACATATAACTGCGTGTTTATTATTGTTTTTAACAAATAACAAAAGTAGAAGCTCAATATGATATTTTTACTTTATTTTTGTAATATGTAGGTATATGTAAAACAATATATTTATGTTTTTACACACATATATCGCTATAGTAAGAACTTTTGTGTGTTAATATGTATGTAACATACAAGGCTACCACTGGTTACGACTAAGATAGACATAAAGACGTAGAAATTGCTGGAAGAATCAAGTTCGTAACGGTGAATAAAAGCCACCACCACCAGCAGTACGACACACGATACACGACGCACGACCAGCACTGTCGAATTCCCTAGTATAGTCTTGCTCTTTGATGTGGTTTATTGATGTCAATGTCATTGTCATTTCCAATTTTTGCGGGTAAAATTGGCTTTTTATGTTGCTAAATAACATGCTAAATAACAATAACCTGCAATAAGCAACTATTCATTTTTTATATTATTTGCAATGAGTTTCTAAACAAAACAATATGAACGACGTGCAAAACATAATAGATCGTCAGTTAGGCATATGTAAGTGTGTACATAAATTTCGCAGTAAAGCGTATTTATCTGGAACATTGTAGAAGAAATGTTTGTTTTTTTGTTATAGTTTGCCGTTTTAACTACGATAATATTCTTAAACGCCTGGTCGTAAACTACGAGGAATCATTTTACGGTGCATTGAGCGCGGAACAAGACCCACCTATTTTCGCTTGCCGGTTCGCAGAAGTCAGCGGTTACGAACACATTCTTGCTCTTGCCAATGAAGATGGAAGGGTTGTCATTCAGGTATATTTTTATGTAAATATGTATAAAACTCACTTTATATGTTTTGTATGTGCAATAGCAGATTAATGCGTGGTCGTGTAGGGCACTCGCCCTCTCCTTGCCCCTAGCTTTGTGGCCAGAGGCTTTGTTTACAATATTAAGTTGTCTTGATAGCATTATTATCTATTTGGATGTTATTGTTATAAAAAATCATGGCACACAAGCAAGTAGGAATGTGATGTTTCAGTTTAATATGAAAGCTAAAATAATGTGTTGCCTATGTTTAATTGCTGGGGAGAGGGTGTACAGACGTTAAGGTGTCGCCACCAAATCCACTTTCCCTCCCTGGACTTTCAGTATTTGAAAAAAGGGTATTAAATATAAATGTTATATATCTTCATAATTTAGTATTTCTTTTTTCTTATGTTCATAGAGAGAAAAGCTTTATATATAATTTATTGTATTAGTCCAGTAGTTTTGCATTTATTTATTCAGAACAAATAATGAAAATTTTTGTTTTTAGAAAATGAACATATTTCATTGAAGTCATTTATTATTCTCTAGATACAATCAAAGCTTGATATTGATGTCTTTGACATGATAGCCTCGTATCTTACTCCACCTACATACATCCTTATCTTATTTAATATACATATATAGTCAAATTATGGCAAACCTAAATAAACTATTTTACCTTTATAAGGATTTATTACAAACAAACATGTCTGTGTGATGAATTTAAATTCATAGACAATAAATAACATTGTCAGCCAGTGAATATAATATCCCCTTACCATGGGATATAGCTTGGATGAGTATTTAAGTTTGGTTTGCTTATTCAACAGTTTATGTTATGCTTTATTACATGCAACAGAACAGTAAGGAGAATATTAGTTTTCCAGAATATAAGTTGTTGTTTAAGAGATAAGAGCTTAGATACAAAGCAAATTATTTTACTTAAAAATGATGTATAATCAGATTTGCCGGTATTTGGAACATTGATAACATTGATAATATTTTTATGAGCTACCGAGTGATTACAGCTTAGTCTCTAATCATTGATTGATTAAGGTATATATTTGACAAAGCTTTCTATTTATGTCTCTATCTCGAAAAATATGATAATCTTTTCTATATAATTTGTACATTTGTTGTGAAATAAACACACTCATATGTATATGTATAGATAAGATAGTATGTCAACTACCTCACTATGTAAAACCTCTCGAGTGCTGTGTCTGTGTGCGTCAGCTATATATATCAGTGGGAACCACTATCACATATTCAATCGCTGCTTACACCTCGGGAAGTACACTCGTGTGTACGCGATGTTCTTAACCGCTCTACTCTTGATGTATTCAGTACCTTAAGAAATACCTTATGTGGTTCCATCCAATTTACCCCTATCGATATCGTTATCGATACATTCGCGTGTTGTAGTTATGTGATCTGTGACTCGACGTCATAACAAAACTCTACAGTATTGCACACATTTTATATCTCAAATATTCTTAGTAGTGAGACTGTCTGCTGATCAAAACAGAGTCGACACAAGCAACCGCCGGGAGTTCATAAGCGAAGCATCTAAAAGAGCCAAGCAAGGAAGTTCATACAAAGTTTGCTTACCAGAAATGGGAATATTTTGCGAAATAAACTTACATAAATCCAACGACGGAGTATTCATAGCCGGAAGTAAAGTTCACGGAGTTATAAGATATGCTGTCGATGTAGAAACCACTTTCTCTCAAATTTCTGTGTCACTAAAAGGTAGAGGAATTTTAAGTATAAAGAGGAAACATAGCGACAAGAGCAAAGAAGTGACGCACTGCTGCAGCGAGGTTTATCTGGACCTCAAAGATGTAGTGACAGTATCTGAGAAGAATATCGTCCCCGCGGGCTCATATGATATTCCTTTCACGTTCGAGTTGCCTGAAAACATCCCGGCCACGTTCCGGCACGCGAGCAGTAACATGCAGTACGCCATTAGTTGCAACATCCGATACATGATACGCATTAAGTTCAAAAGACCGGGCTTTTTGAAGTTCGCTAAGACGTACAAAAAAGAAATCGAAGTCGAATCCGGCATCACTCCGAGGCTTCCTCTGGAACCCATCGTCTACGGAAAGCAGAAAAAAATTTCACAACTATTCAGTCGCAAGTCGAATACGATCAACATTAAAGCCGGCGTGGCAAAGTCCGTCCTCGCCCCCGGAGACACGTTGGACCTTGAATATGAAGTTAGGAATGACTCCGAAGTGACGGTCAGGGCCGTCGAGACCAAGATCGTGGAAGTTCTCAAATTCACGACGAAAACGAAAACTGTGAAAATGTCGCTAGACGTGCCGCACGCGGAGAGCAAGGCGGGCTCGGTGAAGTGCGGCGAGAGCCAGACCATGAGGCTGCTCCTGAGCGTGCCCCCGGACACCCGGTCCCTCGATTTCTCCGGCCTCGTTGCCAGGGACTATTTCGTGCAGATGACGGTTGAGCTGCCCTTCCCGCACTTCAACTGCGTGCTCCTGATGCCGCTGCAGGTGGGGCAGGACGGGCGCGGGTACGCATTCACCCCGCCGCCCGCTTACTGGGAGGTGATGCTCCACGAAGACAAGGATCACAAGGAATAGGCAACTAAACCTTACGAAGATGTCAAACATATTTGTAACATTGTAAATAATGTGCGATTAAATGATTACAACCAAACCTCCGTATGTGTGTTTTTCTTATATCATTAGAACATCCAAATGTTAATTATCATGGAGAAGTCTGCCACGCAATGGCGGGCTGTGCGCTATCACGAAGCATTTGATAAAGTATAATTAGCAACATGATAATGTTCAGGAATTTCATTTAGTTGATGTCGACGTCAATAAAGCGATGATTTCCCCGATATTACTTATCGATAAAAACCTCTCGAGTGTACCTATGTAACATATCGATGTATATACATAAGGATTATCTTAGTTAAATGTTGAACTATACTAAGTTATAACTGTATATGAATTATTATGTAACTGTATATGAGTTATTGCAAACACATTCTACATTTATGCATAAGAAAAAATTGTGCGCGAGGTATGAAACTTTAAAGATAAAATTCTCAAATTTGGCTCAATATTGGCTTGACCTTCACTAAGTATAATGTGGAGCACGATTACTCCTATGATTGTACCAGTAAGAGTGAGATGTGGTGTCGACAGGACACGTCGAGCAGGCGGGCGGCGAGCCGCCTGGAGCCCTTCCAGTGCCACAACAACGCCGTCTTCGACCTCGCCTGGGCGCCCTCCACTATGAGCTTCGTCACAGTCTCCGGTACCTAGCATCGCCTCTTAACTTATACGTACTTCATAATAAATGTTACACATTTTTTCATAAATAATATATTTTTACAGGAGATCACACAGCAAGCCTGTGGGACCTGGCGGAAGGAACTCCGAAAAGAGTTCTAGTTTTTTCGAATCACACGAGATCTGTCAAAACTGCAGTATTCCCGCCGAGAACTCCGTCAGTGTTCGCCACCGGCGCCAGAGACGGCCACATACTGCTGTGGGACATCCGCGCCAGCAACCAACCCAACGTCGTCCTGAAACCGGACAACTGTCTCATCAATTGCCATTCCAGTTTCAATCCTAAGACCCCCGGCTCCCACGGGAAACGAAACCGGCTGGACACCAACCGCGCCATCAGCATCACCGGCCTCGTGTTCCAGGACGAGCTGACGCTGCTCTCGTGCGGAGAGTGCGACGGCAACATCAAGGTGTGGGACCTGCGCAAGAACTACAACATCTACAAGAGGGAGCCGCTGCCCAAGCACTCCATACCCTACTGCGGCAACTCCGCCAAGAACGGCTACACCAACCTCGTGATAGACGAGGCGCGCGTCCGCCTCTACGCCAGCTGCATGGACAACGTCATCTACTGCTTCAACGTGGCCACCTACAGCGCCGTGCCCGAGCAGCGCTACACAGGACACGAGAACGGCACCTTCTACATCAAGGCCGGCCTCAGCCCCGACAACCTCTACCTCGTCAGCGGCAGCAGCGACACCCACGCCTACGTCTGGAACGTCAAGTGCTCCCAGCCCGTCGTGCGCCTGGCCGGACACCGCGCCGAGGTCACCTGCGCCGCCTGGTGCCAGCGCGGCGACACCAAGCTCGTCACCTGCAGCGACGACGCCCGACACAAGATCTGGCGCATCGGCCCCGAGCTGCCCGACCTCCCCGACCTCCCCGACTCCCGCCCCGACCTCGCCGGCCGCGCCCACCTCCTCCCCCGCACCGACCTCGCCGCGCCGCCCGACTGGGGGCCTCGCGACCGCACGCCCACCTCCCTGAAGCGTCCGCGACCCTCCACGCCCGGCTCCTCCGCCGCCAAGCGCCCCGCCGGGCCTCCCGACCCCGCCAGGAGGACGAAGAGGTGCCTCGCCGACCTCATGAACGGCTCCAAACGCTCCGAAACCGAGGAGGCGGAGGTGCTGGTGAAGAGACTGAGGCTGGACGCCGGCGCGCGCCCCGACGACGCGGATCGGGAGTCGTCGCCGGCGAGCCCGCTCGCCAGCAGCGCGCCCGCGGACTGGGGCTACCTGCCTCCCGCGCCCGGAACCTCCTTCATGACGCCGACGAAGAATTATCGAGCGAAGCGCGCCAGCCCTCCCACTCCCGAGAGGTCGGAGGAGGCGCACGTGTCCGCGTCGCCGCCGCGCCGCTACGCCGAGCGCACGTCGCCCGCCAAGCTCCGGATCATCACCTTCACCACGCCCACCAAAAACCTGCCGGACTTCGTGGCGGACGGCGAGGCGCCGCATCTGCGTCTCATGTCGCCCGCCAAGAAGAGGCGCGTCACCACCGACTGGCTCACACGCATCGCGCGGGAGAGGCGCGCCCG